GGAAATACAGATTTGATGTCAGCGTTTTATGCTGCATCTATGGTTTGCGGCTTGTGTGGATTGGCCACTTCGATTTTTGACCATCCCCTTGTTAATAAGGAAAAGCAGCAGATTCAAAATGTAGATCAAATAATCTGGCAATGCCGGTTTTTGCCTCCGCTTTCCTCTTCCCGAGCAAGTTCAGCGGTAATTATTTGGTATGGGAAAGGTTAATGAAGACTGTAAATGGACCACAGGGATGGCATAACTTTAGTGGTGGGTGATCCCTTCGTTTTCTTTGGATCAATGGTACTTTGACCTTTGGAGTGTTTGTTGGCGACTGCTTTCTCTTTGATTTGCTCCATGTTTTGAACAAAATTCACTTTCAGAAGGATCAGCTCCTTCGGAAACCGAGCCCACCGTCATCTATAGTAGCATTCCACCAGATGTCAATATGGACTCGATGTCACGGGCCACCAAGTCCAGTATAGTTGGTGAAATGCTAAGGATAACGAAGGGTCCAGGCGGAAAGCTGAGAATTTTCGCTTGTGAACCGACGGACGAGAGTTCACTTCCATCGGTCAGTGTCACTGCTTTACGTTTTATAGTTTTAAATATCGCATTTTAGGTATATGATCGAGGGCAAAACTCGTCGTGCGTTGTTTGCCATCGCACGATTGAGGATCGGGAAATGTTTTTGAACTTTCCTGATGATCTAGATAGAAGACGCTTATGGGGAAATATGCTTGGCTTCAAATATTCGGTTAGTGGAGTAGTGGCTCTTGTACAAAAGTATAGTAAAATTATTAGGATATGCTTCGTTTACGTGATGGATCTGTCATGCTGAGCACTGGTGATATATGCACTGATCATTTTTCTGAAGAATGCTTTAGGTAAGTTTATTGTCAACCTTGTTTACCAAAAGCAGTTTCAAGTAGATTGTACATAATTCCCATTCGACATGAAGCACTTACATCCTTCTCTTCAAAATCATTTTTGTCCGCTGACTTTTTTAGCAGTTTTCAGAGTATTCAATTTCAACAAAGCTGCCATAGAAGCATTAGGAATGCCGTCTGTAGTTTCTCCTG